GTTAGACGAAGTTGGAAGGGAAGAGGAAAAAAAAAATGAATCTCTCACGTATGTCACACGCATACGTACACATGTATACATACACACATGCCCCATCACACGCAGAGACGCTCGCGTAAACGGATAGAAAGGGAAGGAAAGGACACGCGTTCTCCATAACACGTACATACGGACACGTACACACATGATAGGCTACAGTGCTGCATACGTATTTAAATTAAAGGAGCATTAAATAAGCATGGATGTGCATTCTAGATGTATTAGAGGAGTTTCACCCACACATTTAGTATTAATTGTAAAACATTGTAGTCCGACGCGGGGGTGGGGCAGCGGGAGGCATCCCCAAAGATCGATTTTTACTTTCGAACGTTCGAACGTCTCTTTGGAAATCGACATTCTTTTCACAATAGCGAGGATCAATCGATCGGTCGTCAATCAGTTTAATTATATATTATAGCACTTTCGTTGAACGATTCATCGACGATCCGTTGGATTTTTAGAAGGGAACCAAGGCTTCCAGAGACACGCGTGGATCTTTGTAATGCGACTTTCGGATATTTCACCGTTCGGAGAGAAATATATCACGACGCTCCGCAGATCTGTTGAACCGTTTGATTGTTTTCCGATTGTATTTATGCTGTTCGCGGGTTCACGGGAGAGCGTCCCACTGACGGCCACCCTCCAAGAGAGCCGCGGCGGGGATTGTCATCGTCACGATCATTTATCATCGTCATCGCCGTTTATTTTATCCCGGCGGTCGCCGCCACGAAGCGTAACTCACCGCAATCCACCGACGGAGCGAGTACTAAAATGGAAAAAAATAAAAAATATGAAGTAGGGTAATAATGTTGTACTTTTGTTAAGACGGGGGACGAACAGCAAGCATACTGTCATTATTTTATCGACGTTGTATTATTTATATCAGGAGGAGTACCACGTATATACAATAATTATTAACGATAAAGGAACAAAAAACCAGACAAGATCGACTAGTGTATTTCGAACCCGACTGACAACAATTAAAGAATTTAATTGCGCTGAAACAGTGGCGGTCCTTGATCTTTTCTTTATTACACCCGCATCGCAAAACTCCCCGAAGAACCAAACGATAGATCCATCCGATTTGTTCCCGCGAAAGGTAATAAAATGGATTCCCTTGAAAATCGTAATCCGATTTTTCTTGTTTCGCCTGGAATTCTCGCGTTTCGGTCTTCGCTCTCCATCGATTTCCCCTCGTTCCGATCGATTCCCTTTTATCGCTGCTCCCTCTTTTTTTTCATCTGGAAATGAATAAACGTCAACGAAGAAACTCGAAAATGTATTCAGCCGAACGGGGAAACCTCTGGGATCCAGCAGACGTCGATTCTCCGTCGGTAATTGTTAATTAAGAATCGGATTGCAACGGGAATTGACAATTTGTAATCGTAAAAGGCGAGAGCCCCTTCTGGCGATCGAATGGAAAAGCCTCTTCCAATCGACGATTTCACGGGAATGGTTTCGCGGGCTTGCGTCATTCGAGCGCGCGCGGCCGCCATTTTGATTTAACTCGGTTTTCGCCGGTCGAGCGTTTTGATAATCGGTTCTTTTATCGCTTGAAAATCGATGCGGCTCGGGTTTTCGGGATATCACTTCTCTCCAAAAAAAGAAGAATATAGATAAAAGGGAACACGATATTTTTAAGGGGTTGTTAACGCTCTTCCGGAATTACGGGGGACGGATTTTTCGTGGGGAATTGATAGCTCGATTCGATTCGTGCGGGAAAAGAAGCCGCGTTAAAGAAATGGGGCCGCGCGATAAGGGCCGGGGGCTCGATGATTGTATTTTAACAAGAAAATCCTCACGGCTCGGTGAACACCGGCACCTGCACACCGCGTGATAAGAAACCACCGACACACATTTCCAATGAGTGGGATCCACTCGACCGACGGTCCTCGGTGTCGCTGCTTCTTTCAATCGTCTATTTTCGCGAAACTGGAATACGCGAGCGCATTTCGAACGGCTGGGAAACATATTTCCGAATTCGTAAAAGAATCTCGAGACTTAATCTCTACAAAAAGCGCAACTATAGTTAAATCCATGTAATCTCACGGTCAATTGGGATATCGAATTAACAATTATACATAGAACTGTATTCAGTGCCCGAAATCTCGTGGAAATAGTAACTGTACACTCGGAATTAGGAAACACGGAACAGCAATTTCGAACGCTCGGAGTTCGCAAAAATCGGGCTGATAGCTCGAAAGTTCTCGAAGTTCTCACAGCCGAAAATTGAACAACAATGTTCATTTATAAGTACACGGTTCCAGTTCGTTTACTAATTACCGAGTGTAATATCAGCTCGAACTTCATCGAAACGTTGCGGTTGCAAAGTTTATTAATTAATTTCACGATTTTCGTTTCCCGACGAGCAACGTGGAACCGCGATCGCTGCCGAGTCGAGTAATCCGTGGCCGCGCTGGTAGACATTTTTTTTTCCACGAGAAAATCGAGGAAAAATGGTTACGCCGTCGATCAGCTCGAACAAATTTCATTTGAATCAATCGCAGCCCGGTTTCCCGTTCATTTCACACCCCCGTGATCGGGTCACGGCATCCCCATGCGCAACGGAGTCCTTTCGCTTTTGTGGAACCCCGTGGCAGGATCCTGGCGCAGTTCATCGTCGACCAGCTGAACCATTGGAAGCCCCGAGATCCGCGGGACACGTTCCCGATATCGAAAAAAGAAGAACGAACAACCGTACGAAACGTTGTCACGCGAAATCTCGAAAAGCGATCGGCAATTCGAACGTCCCCGAAAATTGGAGGCCGGTGAGCGCGGAAAAAGGAAAGCCCATTCGTTCGGTGTCGAGATTCGAGTAAAAAGTTTTCGTCGCCAGTTTTCGAAATCCATCGATCTCCCCCGGATATTTTAGATATTACGCGAAGTGTTCGTTATTTTCCTTTCGTTCGTTCGAGTAAGTTCTTCGAGCATAGATTTTATTTTCAGACGAATCGTTTAATTTTGTGAATCGCACTTTCACGAGATGACGGATGTGAACAGCAACAAAGTGTCGGCAGGATCTTCGAAGAGATCGTACGAGCAGGCGAAGAAGGAGCTTCAATCGATAGTGTGTAGAATCGAGGGGACGGGACTGACGAACAGGACGCTGAAGCTGTTCCACGCGCAGTCCTTGCTGCGTCCGGGAGGATCGAAGATCCGCAAGAGACACCTGTGGATCCTGTTGATCCTCGCGTGGATTCTGGGTCAGATCTCGTGGAACTACATTCGAGCTGCTCGTTACGATAGAGTGAGTAACGTACACTGTGATCCTCGTTAATAAAATATTTGAAATTCGTGGAGGATGAAACATCTTACGACTCCTGACTTGTCGGGCACCATTTTGGTTCTTGGTTGCGATTTATATTCTTCGTATCTAACATATCGTCAATAATTTCGTATATTGTATCGTTAGATATTAATAACACCACAATGTTCATTTGATAATACATTTTTACTGCCAATAATAATGGCATTATTCTACTTACTAAAATTACGTTGTTTTAGTTTCTGATTGCAGGTTATGTTCTGCACTTCATATTAAGATTCATAATTTTCATTTGATACACTAACTATTAAGATTCATAATTTTCATTTGATAGACTAACTTAAGATTCATAATTTTCATTTGATAGACTAACTTAAGATTCATAATTTTCATTTGATAGACTAACTTAAGATTCATAATTTTCATTCGATACACTAACTATTAAGATTCATAATTTCCATTTGATAAGAATTATATTTACATCATGGTCGATAATAATGGTGTTAATCTATTTAGTAGAATGGTATCGCGCGTGTGGCTCGATTTCGCTGACGATAAATTGTTTTTAAGTGTCTGGCGGAGCTGCCATCGTTCACGCAGAAAATTTTCCGGCCGGCGGAGGATTGCTCGATTTGCCGGGACGTTCAACAGGTTGACAGGATATCGAACGTGGTTCCTGGGACTTTCGAGGAACGGTACTCGTCCAATTTGTCCGATCGCTCGATTCCACATTCCCGAATCTTTTTCCATTGGATTTTATACCGTTCCCCGTTCCATCGCCGCGTACCATTTTCGAATTACACGCAAACACGTTAAATTTCATTTCGTTTCGATTCTTCTGGTGCTCCTTTTCGAGAGCGGTAATCGCGTTTTCCAATATCCGTATCACAGCGAAAACAAGTGTGATAATCTTCATTCCTTTTAATAACCCAAGAAAAGATTCAATTATGTTACAGAGAGTAATTCGTTTATTTGCGATTACGAATACTATTATTATAATATTCATTACGAAATCTCCAGTAATTAATCGTAGATTATGAGAACATCGTTAAGGACTCATTGGTAGGTGGCTCATCGATTATCTATCTAATTCATTCAAATATATTCATTCTTTCGAAACAGTTACGCATATTCCGGGAGGCCAGTCGTGATCACCGACGCCATGACGAATTGGACAGCTCCGAAAGTGTTCTCCTTCTCGTTCTTGAAGTCGCTGTACGACGGGCAGAACGCTAATTGCCAGTTCTTCCCGTACAGAACCGAATTCAAGAACCTGCAGGATGTTTTCAACATGAGCGAGAGCAGAGCGTCGATGGAAAAGGGAACGGAACCGTGGTACGTCGGTTGGTGAGTGAACGATCCCCTAATTCGCAGTAATGGAACCTAAACATTCTAATTGTTCGACAAAACAATTTGCTTTATTTCATTTCTACGATTTCATTGCATTCATCCTGGTATCTCGATTTACGGACCGATAATTTCGATTTACTTTTTGATTGACGAAAAAATTCCGGAGACCTGCCCGTGAACCGAACAGTTCTAGGACTTCGATAACTACCTTAAAGCTCTCGCGTATGCGCACAATCCGGTTAACAAGCTTAAAAGCGTCTTTGTCTATCGCCCGAGACAATTAGGTAGAAGTACGCGCCGAAGTAGCGAATCTATTGCCCTCGTGTCTCTTTCCTTTATATTTCTTTCGTTTCCACAGCATTAGCGAGCATTAACGAACATTAACAAGCATCGACAAGCATCGACAAGGATTAACCAACCTCTTCTCTTTCTTAATTGTCTCTTTATTATGTCGGCTCTCGTAATGATACGTTTGAAATAGAAAATCGAAATTCCTGTGAACGCTTGCGATTCGTTGAATGTCACTCGTCTCCGAGACATCTTTCGAGTCTAATTTTTGAACATTTCCATACGCTGTAGATGTATAGAACTTTTAAATATTGGAAATATTGGAATTGCGTATTCACTGAATATTTAAAGGAGCAACTGCGACGAGAAAATCGGAAACATCCTCAGACAACATTACCAGAGACCCTATTTCCTGCCATCCACAGCCGAAAGCGAGAGGACCGATTGGATTTTTATGGGAAGCCACGGCTACGGGGCTCCGATGCACGTGAGTTCGTTCGTTTTCTTTTTAATTCGATCATCGGACCACGATGTGATTCACATTTGAACTTTTTACTTAAATTTTCTCATTATTTCATATTGCATTTCCAAAATTTTGGGCTTTTGAAATTTGGACTCTATAAACTAAAACAATAACATTTTAATCATTCCTTTTATTGTCATGATTATAAAAACACGTAATACGATAAGGGTTAAGTGAAGTATTAAACTGTAACTTCAACTTTTCGAGGCGGATTAAAATATATCCCCCACGCATGAAAAGTTCAGTAAACAGTGGGACAGTTTTTAAGCCACCTAACCCGAAAGAGTTAACCCTTTGCACTCGAAAGGTGACTCTCAGTCACCACTTGATTTGATACAGCAAAACTATGAAGTTGAACATTCAGTATTTTAAATTAAAATTACATTTTGCAATGTGAAATATTTAAATGAAATATCTTTGTTGCTCAATTTATCTGTGAACTATCGATAAATTAGTTTCAAACAATGTCGTCTTCGTCTCATCGGAAAATGTCAAAATATTTCTACTGAGAAACTTCCGAGTGCAAAGGGTTAATTTGTCCTGGTGTCCTCAGGTGGACGACGTGGAGCATCCGTCATGGCAGGCGCAGATAAAGGGTGCGAAAGTGTGGATCCTAGAACCGCCTAGGGAATGCCATTACGTCTGCAACAGGCTGGAGATAGTGGTGCAACCTGGTGAAATCAGTGAGTGCATCTTCATGAAGCAATTACATTTAGGAGGTGCTAAGTATTGATTACGATTAGATAATGATAGCTCCGGGGTAGTCGTCCTTCTCATTGGCCCGGAGTTTAACAAGATTGAGATTACAAAATTTTCGTAATTTCCTTTGAATCGTTGAGTAAAGATTTAACCCTTTGCACTCTGTAGGCTCCAATATTGCAGTTACAATATTAAATATTTTGAATCTTAAAGAAACTGCCCTAAAATTATTCGATTTCCCCGCACATCCAAATTTTGCATTGAGAATGAAAATAAGAGATTACAAAACAACCTGGAGTGCCAGGGGTTAAGAAATTTGTTTAATCTTTCATTAGATGAATATGTCTGATCTTTCAGTTGTTCTAGACACGAACCGCTGGTACCATCAAACGCAAATCGTTTCTGATGACATGAGCATCACCATTGGGGCAGAGTACGATTGAGAGGGACTCTGCGATTATTCGAAACGTCCAATGTTTACTGTTAGAAAAATGTATTTTACGATGGTCTATTAAATTTCCTCTAATTAGCAACGCTCTACTACGGAATGAAGGTCAATCAATGTATTTTATTCCTCAGTGTATCACTGTTGACTTCGCCAAATTTCGTTGACTCGAATTCGTTAATACCACTGATGGAATGTAGAAATCGAAATGCTAACCAAATGAACGATCCGTAGAATGAAATTCTCTCTTTTGCCAATGATTTTCATGAATATTTACAGCCTTACACTCAACACATTTACGCTTCGAATAGAGAACTATTCATAAACCTCCATTACAATTGATCAGCTGAATTAAAGAACTTGGAAGTTCACTTTTCCAGTTTCTACATTTTCCATCGGATTCCACTAGCTCCTAATAATCATCCATTCGAAATATTTATGCATACGATCGGAATAGACCATTCACGATCCCCAATTACGTTCGATCAATGAAACTCGAGATCGAGAAGCACACTGAACATCCATGTTCCTCGACGATCTCCTTCGCCGGGTGCTAAATAATCATCAATCATGGTCGATCAGCTAAATCGAAGAACCTCTCGGTACACTCTTTCGACCTCTACATTTCTCAACGATTCCCATCAACATCCTCCATCCTGCTATCCGCTCGAAACATCCGCGAATCGAGCTCCAAAAACACATCACGGCCAACGATCGCCAATTACAATCGACCAGCCAAATGAAAAAACCTCTCGGTACACTACTTCAATACCCGTGCTCTCCTCTGCGATTTCCCCGAACATTCGTCGAATAATCCTCGATTCAAATTAGTCACCAGAACCCAATCACAATGCACAATCTCTGTCGCAGACACAATTGCCAATCCAACTCGCGGATGCTCAACGTTTCATCGAGGACCTGGAGCTACCCCAATCGCCGCCGAAAAATATTCCCCTCCAATCAAGCCGCGTGCCGTTCCCCGCCCTCACCCCTGCCGTTTCTCGATCCTCGATCCATGAAGAAGACGTCAAGGCTAGGAATACAGCTGTTTCGTACGCTGCTTGTGGTTCGATCCTCTAAGGCCCACGTCTGTGCAGGGTGCTAAACTCAGAATCGAATAATACCACTCCCAATCTCTATGCTTTCTTAACACTGGAATTACCGTACCAGTCACAATGACTTCGAAGCATTGAATATTCGAAATGATTTTGAAAATAAATAGCTTCATTTGAGTACTATAACGAATGTCTGAAGAAACTGAAAATAATTTTTACAATTTTTACGGGAATTGCATATTAATCGTACTAAATGCTCGGTAGTTCTAGTGTTAACACTGGGTTTACGGAATCCGTCAATTTGACGGATATTGAATTTTTTAAACGTTATTTAGTAATAGTTTAAGTCGATATTGATTCGTGCAATTATGCGAATAGGCGTTGCAATACTCTGAAGCTACAATTTTCGCGATTTATATAAACGAACACGTAGTTCTCTAGGAACAATAGAAAGAAGTATAGAATAAATGTCCGTAAATCTAGTGTTAATTATACAATGATTATTTTATTTATTATTCAAACATTTCTTTCTATTACTCGATTTCTTCATTACGTGGCTACGAAAAGTACCGAGAGGTCTAAGATTATCTTAGATAAGTCTAGACAAGATACTTTCGAGGCTTCCTTCCATCCTTCAGCATAAAAATTTGCAATAGACAATTTCTATTTTGCTATTCACCTCTTCACCAAATACGCTCCCATTAGATCGTATCGCGTTGTTCATCTCTCTGCCCTAAATTTTAGAGCCTAAAGCATATTGTCCGTTTACCATTTGACGGCTGGCGGGACGGCACAGGGGCAAGAGGAGTTGCTGGTGATACGTTGTAGTTTTGATTGATTACGTATAACCGTAATGACGAATAGCGAATTATTAAATTAAGCTCGAAATTGTGATCACGAGCGGGAGTAGCTAAAGTAGTACAAGAAATTAATATTGAATATGGAACGAGAGAAAATGAAAACTGATCGGTTGGTCCCAAATTCCTCAGCCTAGCCAAGTGGTAAACAAATGATACCGACAACTTCAAGATCAATGAGACGAAAAAAGATGAAAACTAATCGACTAAATTCAAATTTCTCATCCTAGCCATTAAGTATTATAGTAAACAGACAATACCGTCGACTCCAAGACGAGAACTCCAGGGTCCGTTCATTCGGTCGGTTGATCGGTTTCCACGGGGCCCGTACACGCGCTGGGCAACATATGATCGAGGGCACACGCGTGAACCCGGAGGGGAACCCCCGCGGCAGGGACCACCTGCCGCCAGGTGCGAATCCACGAGACATCTGCACGAGGGGGCCCCGTGCCCGTTTCCTTTTCACCGTGTTCCCGCCATTAACCTCGGCCAACTCTCTCCTTCTCTCTCTTTCTCCCTGTTCCCTCGTCCCACTCCCCCCTGTCCCGCTGTTCCCCCGCGTGCCGCTGAATATTAGGTGTCTGTCTGAGCCGTGCCCCATTACCCGGAGATAATTGGTCGAACCGTGGCTCGCCAATTGGACAACGATCGTTCTGTCCACGACAACTTGACGTTCGTTCAATGAACGAGCCACGTGGGTCCATTTTCGGCTACCCCTTTCCTGAATGCCGCGGTTGGGGTGAATTTTAGATTATCCCGGAGGTTCGGCAGTCTGGGTCCAACGGGACGAATGGAGGAATTTTGTTGTTTAAGCTAATTTATTGGGTTGATTTAGGAATCGGTGTTTCGTTGAACGAAGCGTTGAAGATCGATCGAATCGGAGAATTATTGACCTTCGAAATTCTTAATGGGCTGAATTTTTCTTCATGACTATAACAAAATCTATGCAGTGCAAAATTAATAAATATCCATATATGAATATGAATTAACAATGTATTTAACAGTGTCAATAATTCCATCAAACAAATATAGTTTGTGACCTTCAAGTTACAATGACTTAAACGCCTGGGCATATAAAAGTTGAAGTTAACTGATTACTTAATTTCATTCACCACTTTCAGTGCAAAATGAAATAAATCAACAAGATGCCGATATACCGATACGCGACTTCAAAGTTAATCGCTATGAGTATTGCAGCAATAGATTATTTTCAGTTTCTTCAGAGATTCGTTATAGTACTTAACTGAAACTATTTATTTTCAAAATCATTTCGAATATTCAATTCGAAGATATCAATAATGCGAAACAGAAAAACTGAAACCAGTCATTTTGACTGGTACGGTAGTTCTAGTGTTAAACTGCTTTGTTTACGAATGTAGATTTCGAGGGATGTTTCTCTGTTTCCGGTAGATTCAAAATAAACTTTTTAGAAAAATATAAATAAACGAATAAAGGATCGCTTCAGATTCGATGGAAGCTTACACTTTCGATTGAAGTGCTCGCAGATCGCGCGTAGATCTGTGCACGGGTGAAACGATTCCGAGGATTTATATTTGAAGTTGAATCGACGTTGTTCCCGACTGTTCCACGGGAGGAGCGCGTTTTGAAAAAGTTTACGTCCGAAGTGCCGGAAGCGCCGAGCGGATTGCACGCGACAATGTCGCGACTTTAACGAACACCGGGATTTTTTTCCGGCCCCGGCGAGCGATAAAATAACTGGCGCGCCTATAAAGAGCCAAACCGGTGTAATAATATGCTCGTAGAGTGACGAAATAATTATAGATATCGATTGTCCGCGGAAAGCACGCCGGGGACAGAGAGGTGGCGCTCTATATTTAATGGCGTTACCCGGAGGGAACGCTCACGAGCCAATTATCCGCAGATCATAAAGTTTCTCGAAGATTCACTTTGGAACAAATTAAATGACTGCTCAATGAAACCCCGAAATCCGCCGCGAGCATGTGAATCGTTTATGCGAAACGTTATGACGTCGATTAATCTCGTCAACCCTTATTTGCAGTTCGGAATCAATTTCATCCGAAAGGACACGTATTAATTGTCGGTAATTGTGTATATTACTCGGTTCGATATTCATCAACGGTTGTCCGTGTAATCACTTAAACTATATTATATTTATTTATTTAATATGTTTATTCATTTATATTTATTTATTTAATATATAAAGTAAATATATAATGTATATTACCATATTATACATATGATAGATAAATATCACACTAATAATTGTAATGATACAAGTTCATAACAGATCCGAGTAATCATGACCATAGGTAAGAACATTTATTCATTTAATTATATATTTATTCATTTATATTTATTTATTTAATATATACAGTAAATATATAACATATATTACTATATTATATACATAGTAAATAAATATGACATTAAAAATTGTAATAATACAAGTTCATAACAGATCCGAGTGATTACGACCATAGGTAAGAACATTTATTCATTTAATTATATATTAATTCATTTACATTTATTTATTTAATATATAATATATATTACCATATTATACATCAGATCCGAGTAATTATGACCATAGGTAAGAACATATTCGATTATGAATTACTACTCGAGAACTGGCACCATATTGAATATCACCCACCGGAAGTAATTATGCTAAGTAGAAGTGGCTGGAAGTAATATTACGTTAATAAAATTAATCACTCGAAAAGTCATGGAATTATTCAGGTTCCGGATACCTTACGATTTTGAATAGTCGAGATAATCGTCTAAATTCCGAAATCGACACGGTTGATTCCGCGACGTTCCGTGTTATTTAATAGAAACGTATTTCCCCGGATTGCGCGGACATCAAAGAGGGTTAGTTCTACGAAACAATCGACGCAACGAACGGTTTTAAACCGTGAAACGGTCAACGTAGATGGCGGCACAGAGACGATCACAATCAAATGACAGGAAACGGTTTTTCCCGCCGGCGAGCGGTTCGAAGGAGGCCCCCTGGGGCTTTCCGTTTCAATCTAATTACATTCCACGCGACGCACGCCGGGGAAAAAAAGTGGGGTGGACGCAACAAAATCTCGTTAATTCATAAAAATTCTCCGTTCGTTTCGCGGCGGTC